AACAAATTAAAATTAATTTTTAATATAAGTTTAGAATAATATAATTAAATTTATTAAATATAGAGTGTAACAAATTTCCGTAAAATCGGCCCCACTCACTGGAAACGATACAAATGAATTAAAATTAAAAAGTATAAATTTAATTAGTAGTATAAGTTATTATTTCACTTAAAAAATTGTCATTATTTACCATACTATAGCCTTAAAACTCACTATTATAATAAGTTTGTACATCGTTATGAGTTTCGCGCAGTATATTTTGGAGCTTTCTCTTTCTCTTTCTCGCTGATTAAAAAAAACGAGAAGAAAAATATGCGTGAGAAAATGAGACAACCTATCCTATTAAATAAAAGAATTTAACTAATTTTTCATAAAGAATTAGAACGCATTTTGAAAATTCTAGATATGGGCAGCGGAAAAAGTTAAGTAACATTTGTGTAATTAATAGATCATGTAAATTTTGTTAAAGATAGGCCTATATGTTGTGAATATTATCTATGTACTTAATAGTAAACATTTTTATTACTTTACTTTTATTTTAAATTATATTAAATGTAATGAGTAGGATCAACTAGACATATTCTGAAAGTGGAACTTAAGGAGCCAATATTGACAAAAGCCAATTACGTAGTAACAAAATAACACCGTGATTTATCCTTCCTGACATAATATTTTAATCGTTTTGAAAGGATTTTAGCGATGTTACCTAAGAATTTTATTTAGAATGGTCAGATATATCGCATCAGCTGAACCATTAGGTAAGTCACGCTTTAGCCACCATTCTGAGAAAAGAGGATACCTTGAATTTACATTAAACGTTACTATTTATCTGATTTTATAATAATAAAAATTATAAGCGAAGAATACAAAAAATGTATTCACAACCCGCTGTNTAAATTAAATATTTTTTTCGTGCCAAAATGTAAAGGAATACTTACTTTCTTTCGAACAATGCTTGCTGCATCTTGAAGTGGCTAAAAAAATCGACTTATTAATGAAAATTATTTCTTTACAAATGTAAAATTTTACATTCTATAAATTCTTGATTTAAAATAGAAATTAAATTTTAAATTTATATTCTAAAAAAAATTATAAAAAATATCTTACATGGTAAGTGGGCACTATAGGTAAATTGAATAAAGAATAAAAGAAATAATAGTGCTCTTAGATCCATCATGATGACGAATGACGTTTGAACATTTCTTCAATCCTTTTAATATTTACATTATAAATTAGGTCTAAGTCCACTTCGGTTAAACCTGAATAAGCATTCCTAATGTGACGCTTGCATTTGCAATTTTGTAGTTCATTTATCTGCTTAAAATATAATTAAACTCAATCGAATATAAACTACTAAACTGTAGGAATAAACACTTTTAGAATAAACATTTTAAAATAAAATATAAATTTATAGATTTTTATCTAAGGCACATAGCAAGGATGGACAAATTTTGTCACGATAGGAGCCATACACTGCCTATTGAAAATAAACGAGAGTCGCATCATCTGTTGGAATGCCTATTGGAGAGTTGCATAATCTATTTATAGTATTTTATCTATATATTAGAGTTATCACTATTCTATAATAAATATCACTCTTACTTTACTGGTACTTTATGACTAACTGACTAGGTAAACAATCATTTAACTCCTTTCACTCTATGAATGTACTAAGCTTTCAATTGCCTATTTGAGATTAAGTTGAGATTACGTAGACAGAGATCGTAATAGTCAGAAAACTTACAAAAATATTATATGTGTGTAAGTAGTATGCATCAAATTTATAATAAGTATATGGGAGACTCAATAAGAATCTATGCATGCGACTCGCGAGCTATAGTTTGGCCACCGTCGCATATAGAATAGTTATAAAGAATATTTATGTTTCTCACATAAAAATAAAAAAAGCTTTATCTTCCCAACCGAAAAATTAATCTTTATGTATAAAAAAAGAGCTTCGAATTCGAATTTTTAATATAGCCTACTTCAGAAGCCAATTTTGATTTAACTTAGTAAGTCAGTAATAGTTCTTTTAGTGGTTTTGAATAAGGTAAGAAAACGTATATTAAGCAATAGTGCGTGTAAGTTGCCATAAGTAACAAAAAGCAGTCTAAAAAGTCCCAAAAGAATTTCAGTTCATCTGTTGCCCCTCCCCTACCATCTTGGCAATACATATAATTGCTCATATTATTAGCCCTAGGTTAGAGGGCTGGATGATCGAGGCTTAACAGTCTCTATCATATAGTCCCAGAAATTTTTATAGGCAATCTGTACTAGATGTCAGACTCCGTTCCTCACTAATGGACCGTCCCTTTTATGGGCCGGACAAAACCCGCAATGGTTATGAAAATCAGGCCCTCTTAGTACACACAGAAAAGATAGAAAGAGTTAAGAAAAAAAAACATACTTAAATTTTAATTAAACAGAAATAAATAAAGAACTGTATAATAGAATCCAGTATATTAAAAATTCTATAATACAGGATTATTCGGATGATTCACTCGTATTTTTGGTTTTTTTATGAATTATTTAGGTAATGTATTTGATTTGTTCCCACGGATAGGAGTAAGCAGGAGATTGAAATTCTACAGCCTGATTTAATTGCAGAATCCTATACTGTTTCCGCTTTACTATTCACATTTAAAATCCATAATTTCTTTTTTAATTGCCATTTGGGTACAATTTTAAAAAATTGTATACCTATAAATTTCCACTGTATGTCTGTCTCTGCACTTCCTTAATCTCGAGAACTGAGCTAGATAGATGAAATTAAAGACCTGATATGGAAAACTTAGGAACAGGAAGTCCAGATTAACTATATATGAACTTTCGGTTTAGACCAGAAGTCACGTTAATTCAAAAATTTTTCCCTGAACGGAGTTAGCTAGATGACCTGCACGACTCTATTGATAACAGGAAAAGTATGATGTACAGGTGCAAGACACTACCGGTATTAAAAAAAATGAAAACGTGACGAAAAATTGCAGACCGGCATTGTACGATGTCACAATAAATAATTGCTCGTATATGTTCTTGAATAATAGCAGTGTATTTAAACATGAAAAAACAAATACAAATTGAAAAGATTGAAATGAAGAGAAATTAACGAATATTACTTAGAATATCAATTTTAAATAAAAAATTAAAGAATGTATGAACTGTAAAAGCATAAAAAGATGGAGAATACATAAAACTGTAACATTAAAATTTTCGGAAATGATATTTTTGTTGCTAGAAAGAAACAACAAATCGTCCATATATATAGGCCTTGTAAATTACTAAGCAAGGAGCACTGAACTTTCTTCCTGAATGAACCCTTGACGCTGAAATTGCTAGAATTTTTTGGCAATTTGTGAAAAGGAAAGCAATATCTTGAAAACTTTTTCTTTACCACTTTGCAGTAAATAAAAATATTTATCTTTATTTTAAGGTTTTGATAAATATTCATATCATCAGTCAACTGTGTTTGTGCATAATTATATTTTCAAATTTTCATACATATTGTAATTCTCTAGTTTTGAAGACACATCAGATGAGTTGTTCTCTGGAAAATCTGCAGTTGTTTCTCCAGGTGTAATGGCCTACAATTCTTCAATCATTTTACACAGTTTTTCTAATGTTTAACGCTAATGTTTCACTCATGCGTCATGATTCACATCTTTGGATTTAGAAATATAGTAATACTGTTATATATAGAAATAGCCTACTGCAGTTGATGAATCTTTAGACTCTTTGCAATTAAATTTCTTTTACCTTGTTGATAATATATGAATTATTATATCTCGTTGTCATGACATAAAAAAGAACATAAACATACACGGTATGAAAGTTTTTAGGAGTGTCTATTAAATCACTAGCTTGATTAAGTAATGTTAAAAAAGTATTTGGCATGTGAATCAACTCAAAATTAATGTCTTTGTAATTGTTATTTTGCTACAAATCTGTTCTACTTTTATTACTTTCCCGGCTTTTTTAATAGAGGGAAATTGTGGCGATCAGTCAAAAAATGACCCCCCCCAAATATTTTCACATTTTTGGACATAGGACACCTTGAAACTTCGAGAAATGTGAAAAAATTCGGGGGATTTCTGTATGTATGGAAATTAGTGTGTGGGGAGCATTATTTCATTCACCCTGTTTAACGCTTAATAGTTCCTGCGCATTTTGTCGAAAATTTCTAAAATTTTGCAGGGAGGTTTGTGTGTTAGGGAGATTGATGCTGTTAAATTTTAGTGGTTAAAGGTTGAGGGGTATGGAGATAATAAAAGTCGTGTGTATCTCCACAGGGTCGAACTTAATGACAATTTTACTCGTTATTAGCATTTTCAATTTTTTTATAAAACTCATTCCTATCCAAAATTAACATTTTTACCGTTTTATAGTAGTTAAAATTACGTTTTTCATTAAAATATAATAACAGATGGTGCCACCAAAATTTTAACTGTTGCCAGGAAAGTTGAACAATTTGTTGCTTGTTTATTCTCTCAATGCTTACAAGCATAGCAAAATGAGAATTTCAAAAATTTGGCATATTGCAAGATCAAATTCTGTAACAATCTCCACACGCTTTACACATCCTGCATGTTCTCTGAATTTAAAAGTAAAAATAGTGTACTATACAGTCAAATTACTCGCTCTTAACGTGGTATTCTTTACATATAGCGGTTAGTATACGTATAGTACTCAAATTATACGCGGAACAACTGATTTTGTTTTTAACACTGAATATAGTTTTCATGTTTGAGGTATGATTGGAGATGCCACTTCTCCGATTTCACCAAGAATCTCCGAATTTCAAAGTTCTGCTTTCAAATTTTAGCTATGATTTCTTTGGATTTTGAATTGTGTTGCATAATCGAAAAGTTATTCAAATCTTTGATTGATTTTTAAACTATTTAGTTAAGAAGCTTATTCACAGATCTGTTGGTTAAAATAATTTATCTCTAGAATTATATGTATATATATTATGACTACGAATAGATTCGAACAAATGGAACTTCTTACAAGTATATCTAAATGTAAATATTCCTGATAAATATATTTCTTATTTCGTGGTAGTATTCATGTAAACACGTAAATATTTTTTGTGATTGTTATGTGATTAACAAGAAAAACGTACAAATATTTTGGCATTATTTATGTTGATATGTTAGTTAACTGTTACCCTTTTCTTGTAATTTGTCACGGAAACACACACAAGATTTTAAATAAATATTTATAATTATTAATGGTTTACACAATATTAATGAATACACAATTTATCAGATTAATAATTGGATTTGGACTCGACTTACAAGGAACTGCTAATAATAAAGAGAAGGCCTCTCTCATAAGGGCATGTAATGTAAAAGTTCAAAGGTTCGGTTTATTTTTAACTACACTTCGTATAATAACAATTCTAAGCCGAAAAAGAGAATAGATCTTTCTCATTATATATACTCTTACAAATTTATTTATTTAAAAATAATGAAATTGCATTGCATCATGTATAAATTACTCAATCTTTTATACAATACATTATAATATTATTTTATTCATACCTTTTAGGTTTACATCATAATAACGTTTTAACACTAAACAAAAAAACGATTTCCATTTTCAGGATCAAATATTAATTTATATGGTAATTTATCTCTTAACGACTCCATTTTTTAAAATATATTTTATCATATATAACTATAGCTTTGAAAATAAACTATTATTATTATTATTATTATTATTATTATATCTGAATTAAAGCATCAAAATTCGATTTTATTACAAACACTTCAAGCGAATTTTGACTTTTACATTCATTTTTTTTAATTTAAAATAGTTTTTTCTTTTTTATTATTACGAAATTAATTTAAAATGTGGTAATAGCATTTGTAAAAACTAACAAAAATTAAATTATGTTAAAAAAGTTGAAAGACCTCCAATTGCATCGAGCCCACTAGAGGATCAATAAAGATCAAAGAACCGTGGTCCTAAACGTGACCTTTTGAGAGATATTCAGGTCTGAAGTTTGGACGATGACGTCATTTCCGATTATAGTACAGGCTGCGGCACGGGTCTGTGACGTCATTTGTAAAGGGTGGATGATCGTCAGTTGGAGATGGTTTGAGTGAGTCTTACTCTCAGAAAGTTAAATATCTGAGATAAAATTTTGACAGTATTCTTTTAAACTGAATACGATGTCAACGTGGAAAGTTTGTATGATATACGAAAATTTATTATTGTTTAAATCTATTAAAGTGCCATATTATATATAATAAGAATGATACTTAATGTTTAAATTTATGTTAAGGTGTAATAATTTTAATGAACAATTTACTCGGGTATTATTATATTTACGAAATGCCTGTAGGTAATGGCTTTTACCGATAGAATTCAACTGGCGACTTCCAAAAGGTAAGTAAAAGAAAACAACTAAAATAAAAGAAAAAAAATTCAGCAACGAGTTGCTTAACTTTCCCCGCGACATTTAAAACTGCTTTGGCGTCATTTTGGCGCCAACGTTTAATTTTGAGGGTAGAGATGAGTTTTATAAAAAATTGTAAATGATAATAACAAGTAAAATCTTTATTAAGTCTGACCCTACTGGAGATATGACATACGTCTCTCTTTATCTCCCCACCCCCTCGATCTTTAACCACCAAAATTTTATAGTATCAATCTTCCTAATATCTCTACAAAATTTCAACATTTTCAACAAAAAGCACAGGAGTTATTAAACTTCAAAGAGGGTGAACAAAATCGTACCCCCCACACTCACTAACATCCATACATACAGATAAAACTCCGAATTTTTTTGCATTTCTCGACATTTCAAAGTTAAAATAATTTAGTTCTAAACAAATTATATAATAAATTGAGGTAAAATTTTATGATAATTTTAAGTAAACTTGAAATAAAATTTTATTAAGAGAATTTAATGTCTTTAGAAAAAATATATAGTATAATCAATATTAGGATTTATCATTATTGCTGTTACTAAAGATTTTGTTATCTCTTCAGATTAATTTGTAAACTCTCGTGTTTGGTGATATAAAAAAAAGAGGAATAAGTACAAAATTTACATATTCGTCCTTTATTTATCCAAGTAAACTCCAAGTTTAATTAACATCATAAAATATAATAACATAAAAACTTTATATCAAATCGAATTAAATCACGATCTTCTAATTTAATTCTTCACCAATCTAACGGAAAAAAACGAAAAATGAAAACATATATCATTAACAAATCTTTAAATATTTTAAAAAGTTTTATTTACCTTCTTCCCTGTGGAAGGGACACGGGCGACATACCGCTCTTGCTACGTGATGTGCATCTTGTTCGCATCGACAGACTTTACACTTTGGTGAAGGCATGCTGGAAACACGACGAGACAATGGCATTTGCCAATTTTTAGATTGGCTTAACATATTCTCAGCTTCTGTTTGGGGTCTGATAAGATTTTCAAGGTCGAGGGCAAGTGACTGGCAAACATCATCAGAATCTTTTCTGTGTGTTTCGTCCCAAGCAAAACTTCTTTCTGAGCAGTAACATTTAAATTATTATATATTTAATGATATTTTCTAAATATTTCCAGAAAAATAATTATGAATCATAAAGTTAGCATAAAATACTTACTTGTATCCGAAATGAGGTCCATATCCGAAATGAGGTCCAAATCCGAGTATTGCATAATATGTAAATAAAATCCTGCCCGATGAAGGTGTGCCAACATTTTACGGTAGTTATGCTGCATAGTCGAATAAATTAATTACACTTTAACCATAAAAAAGTAATTTTATCAATGTATGAAAATACTTACGGACATAGCAGATATTTCACATTTGTGGCAAGGTGCTAGAATAATCAGTTTATTTGCATTGTCACGGAATGGAAGTTCTGTTGCGCGCCAAAGAGCTTCAAATACGTCTAAATCGGAACGTTGATCGTAACTCAGTTTCATATTTCGAATAGCGATGTCCATATCACGAACAGGGAAGAATGCTGCACCGCGAGCTGTGTGAACATGTGCTTTAAATTCTTCATTTTGTCCACCGTAGGCCACCACACCGTAACGATTATTTTTATATTCTATAGTTTCTAATCCCTGATCTAAAGCGGTTGCAAATTCGCTCACACTTCTAAGCAACTCATTGTTACATTCACTTTCTTCAATTATGAATAATATATCGAATGTCTGATACCTAAATATATGATCTTCATCGATCTCTACTGTTCTCATATCATGAAATTCCATTATTGATCCATCAGCCATAGTACAGTCCACTAAATTAACATTTATGAATTATATATTAAACCATTATTAAATTGTGCCTAATAATAAGCATCAATAAATTTCATACTCACAGCATTCGGCAGGTAAAGTAACATGATAACCATGATCTTTACAAACAGAGGCATAAGAAGCAGCAATATTACATATAGATTTTGATGGCGCATCTACAGATAAACTAGATTCTACAGGTGCTCGAAGACATAGCGTGAAGTATTCTTGAGGTGGAACCTGTTGCAGTAATTGAAAAAAAAATGATTGAAGATATTGAAATAATTTTAAATCAGTTAAGAATGTGTAATGAGACTTACTCGATTAAAACATGGCTGAAGAGGTGATTCGCGGTGGGCAAAGTATCTCTCACATATTCTGTAACCTTCTTCACTTGGATCTGACCATTGTAATGGAAGGACATTTTGTTTACAATTATGAGACATCTTCCATCCTTTAGAGAACTGGTCTACGGTTTCTACTCTTTTACCACTAGGATCAATAAAATCTGTGCTTGGTTCGTAATCCAGTGTACCAAACAAACCAGCTGTTTTACCGTGATACCATCCACTGATAGAAGCGGTGCAGAAATTGTACACGAGATGACATTTTACGTGTATACCGCGCTTATCTAGTACGTCAATTACGTCTCCATCTCTTATAACAGTGACTAGAGGGTTGTAGACTGGTAATTCAACTGGTACATCATTCAAAAGAACCTAAGAAAATAATAAAATTAGAATTAGTCTTTTGTTAAATTCTGAAAGATGTATTTGTGTAAACTTACTGATGATGAATGTGGATTAACTTCAATAGAAACATCAGCATTTAAGAGAATAATAGATTTTTGTGGTTGTCCGTAACGGTCAGTTCCAACATGTTTTGCAATAATGGTGAAATTTCCATCGACAAAATCATTCATTAGAAGATAGCTGCAATCACTATCAATACTGAACGTGGCATCATCAAATGTTTTGAAATGTTGGCCGCTCACTAAAACAGCATCAGCTAAAAAGAAAATTAATGAAAAATAAACCATAAATGACATATCAAATCGTACCACACCATAAAAACATAAATTGTTTTAAAATGGTAAATACGGCATACCTCTAAATGGAGGAAATTGAGGAAATGGAGGCAACCAAGGTTGTTGCATTATGTCTAAACCCTTTTCAAGCGAATCTAAATTCCAGGGAAATTCCTTAGATTGGGGGTTCCAAACTGACTTTAATGTATGCTTTAATCTACGAGGATTTACTGGTGAATAGAGTTCAACTCGCAATCTGCCTTGATCAGGATCGAATACAAGAACAGTAGTTGTATCTTTCAAACTTAACGAAGATAAAGCAGTCATGATAGAGTCCTTCAATTCCTTGCGTAATTTGTCTAATCTTACTTTTCTTAGTTCTTGAAGAACCTAATAATAATAAATTTAATGAGATTATATAATTAAAAAACTAAAAATCAATTATATATAAAATTAATTTACTTCATCTCTTATTTCTTTTGCTGTATTTACAATAGCTCTCACGTCACGGTTTCTCATCATGTCGTCTTGAACTTTAACCCACCATTCTATCAGGTCAATAACTTTATCATTAAACATATGATGAAGTTTATTCCATGCTTTACCTACAGATCTTCCATATTGCATCATATATTTGTCTAATACAGTTGGAATGTCTGCAATTCGATCGGCAATGCGATCCAAATGTCGTGAACAAGCTTCCCAGAATGCTCTTAACGGTTTCATTAAACCTATGAAAAATTAATTTAATACAAATTTCTATAATACAAAAACTGTTAAATGAAAAAACTGAATATTATACTTTTATGAATATTTCCAAGTTTAATTTGAATCTTAATCTTTTCTCTCAACAAATCAACGAGATCTCTACAAAGTTCTTTTACAAGGCCCTTCAAACCATTTCGTCGAAATTCCGATCTCAGTTCGTAACAGTAAGTGCCGTATTCGCAAACCACGTCTAATTGTCTGGAAAGCATTTTCTTCACCTCGCGAACCTGATCAAGGACATCGGCAGGAATCAATTCCTTCCAGATTATTTTTAATTCATATTGCATATCTTTAATATATTTTCTCAAGGGCTCTAAAGCTCTTTCGATTTCGTACTTAGATCTGTAAATACGAATTTTAAAATTATAAATTTATATTACTATATAAAAGAAAAAAATAATAATAATTATATCAGAAATTACGGCAATCGGTCGTAAAGTTCTCGTAGAGATCGCTTTACATTTTGCATTTCACTTCTAATTTCGTCGAATAATTGCGAATATTCTTTAGCAACACTTCTATATACAGGTTGATAAATGTTACGTTTCATTGAGCTTAACGTGTCCCACATTGGTTGTGCTAATTCGTATGGAATTATATACTCTTTTATTTCTTGAATTCGAACAGGTATTTCAGAGAAATAATCCTACAAGTTGAAAAAAATATATTAAATTAAACAACAGTGATCGAAAGCAAGGAAATAAAGTCTAAAAAGCAACATACCAATATTTTTCCTAGAATTTTTGGCATCCATTTGAGATCTAAGGTAAACGCACGTTCAGCACTGCTGTCAAACACTAACGAAAAATCTGTAACCTTGCCACTGTCATAAAAGGTGTTTGCGCTTATAGATAACAGATTTCGATCAGCAGAATTCACACAGAAATGATATTTACTCTTCGGAACATCATCTAAATAAAACAGTATATTCATAAATTCAAAGAATCTTATACATATTAAATAAAATTATTCGACTCATACCAGCTCTGGAATAATAAGACACATCTATGCATGGTTGACGGTAGTCGATAGTGGCATCTAGTTTCTTTGGTTCTCTATCGTTGATTAGAATATCTACATCAGTCTTCAAAACACTGTCAGATGAAAGCATCCAGTTTCCAATTCCTTCAAATTTAACCATATCGCATTTATGCTATAAATTTGAATTATATTAATTAATTTCATTATCAGAATTGTTAGGAATAAATTAAGAAAATTGTTGTAATAAAATTAATATAAGTTATCGTATATTTTAAAATACAGGAATTTACCCAAACTCCAAATCTTCTATCTAATGGCATGATTTGTATCAATGAAAATGAGGATTTCCTTCTGTTCCGTTGTGATGAAAATTCCCATTCTAAACCAGAGCTTATCAGTTCTCTGGTATGACCCAAATGCGATCTTAGTGTGAAATCTAAATATCGTCGTTCTACACAAAACAAATAAAAATTAAAATTGATTAATAAATGTCACTTAAATTTTTATAATGTAATACAATTTTCCAATTCTACCTTGTTTATGAATGTTAAAGACAAGAGTATTATTTCCTTCTCCACTTGGAGCAGTTTCCAGTTGTACACTACAAATTATATTATCCTTTGGATTATCGGAATATTCCAGTTCCAATTTTGCATCCACTGGATGGACAGATGCTGCCTCTTTACTATGCAACTCGAATTTTGCACAAATCGGCTGAAAAAATTCGTAACATCAGACAAAGTATATTTTAAAGTAATTGCTGATTAAACCTTATTTAAAGTTTTATAATTACCTTACGAAGTTCTGGATGTTTCAACTCAATTTTGGATAATATTTCACGATTGTTCCTAACAACATTATTCTTATGAAACAATTCCAAGACCATTTTTCTCATAGGCTGTCTCTCGGCGTCTAGTTGGCATTCGGCAGTTAATATAACTTCCCTCTCTGTCTGAAGAGTACCTTGTGCTTTGATCACTCTTGATGGAAGATATATCTGCAAATGTGCATTCTTTTGTGGCAATTGGCGATCTAAATGTACATCATAACCGATTTTCTTGCTTGGAGATGCAAATATAAGTTTGTTCTGATAATTCTTTTTGTTTACATTTTCCAAAAACTCTACGGACAAATCTCCCTCTCTTGGTCTTCTTATATTCAGTCTTATTTCACGAAGAACGTTTCCATAAAAACGCCTATTTTCATTCTTATAATGGCCTTCGACTTCTACGCATTCGGAACTTTTGTACCTGCTTTCCCAACATATCTTCACTTTTGGCTTTATCACGGAATCTTCTTTTCTATAATCCACATTGACGACCATGGGCTTGATAGCACCACTTAGATTCAAACGACAACTTTTGGTTACGCGTCCATCTTTACAAATAATGTTCACGTCAACAATTCTCTTTCCCTCGACATCCAATTCTGCTGATCCTTTATAATCAGCTCGAGCGTGTTCTGTGGATAATCTTCCTGAGAGTTTATCAATTGAATTTTTCTTAAGGACTATATCAAACTCTTTATGTGCGCTGTCCATTTTATTGCTCATGTGTGCACCGAATGATGGTGTTGCGTAACTCTTGAATTCGACATTGCTATCAAAATTCCTTATGCTACGTCCGACAAGATTACCATTGAAGTCCAATTTCGTTTCGGCATCAACTAATATCTGACATTGTACTTTGTAATTTGAAGGCTGAAGATGGTAAGTTGCCATAACTTTAGCTGCCTGCATTCTTCTGGAAGCCGGTGTTTGAATTTCACATTGCAATCTAGCACCATATTCAGTTTGTTCTGCGTTTCCTGAAACAATAAGTTTCCTGCCTTCGTCCGTGGTAAGATCAGCATCAAATGCAATTTTATCACGTGACTTTTCTGCATTTAGATTGATTTCACGCGTTTTCCATCCTCGAACAGGAGTTTGTACTGCTAATAAGGCTTTCAAAGCTTTCGAGTTCCAGCTTTTTGTACAAGTTAATTCTGTTTTTATTCGATATTGCTTATCGGGAGTTTGAGAGATTTGGAGTTCGGATTTTAGAGCAAGTAAATCAGAAAGATCATGCATATGACTTAAATGTACTTCCTTTCCGTCCCATCTACGATTGGATGAAGAAACAACGGCGTCACATGCTATTTCCAAACGAGGTCCTTTTGTAATAAACTTGCCTGTTACTTGAGTACGCAGTGTTTGCTCTTCGTCGTATTGGCAAAGAAACTCGCAGTTTAATACGCCATCTTTAGCTTCGTGGTGCAATTTAATAGAAAGTGGTTCCTGCTGTTGGAAATCTATTTGTAAATCATGAGGACCTTGCAAAAGTTTGCTATTAATTTTTCCTCTTACACGAGCATCCACATTTGCTCTGTACTGTAGTTTACCCGTTAACTCATAACTCTTATCAGACCATGATGACATTTCATGTGCTTCGGTTTCAATTGCTAATCTAGCAGATGGATTTCTATCAGCATCCCAATTTATTTCCATTTGAGCGGCAATCCTTGGTTCTGATGCTACTCTAAGATGACCTATCACTCTACGATTAGTTTGTGGTCTACTAATATCGAATTTTAATAATGTATTTCTGCTATTAATATCAAATTGAACGTCACTTTTTGCATAGTTTGGTAAATCCAAATTCACTTTATTTGGACCTTTAGGTGCAATTTTAACATTTAACTTGTACGGAGCCTTTCCCTTGTAACTCGTTGAACTTGCAATATCTAAAGATTTCGGACTCATTTTAAGTAAGCCTCTGTGCTCTATTGGGGCTCGTAACCATGGTGCATCAAATGAGGCATCAACTTCATGATGGAAGTTTTTGGCTCTGCTCTTGATTCTGTATGTATAATCAAAATTAGCTTCCTGCTCACGATCCCATTGCAGTTTCGATGTACCTTTGTATTCATTTGGTGATATCTCATCTAATTGATTTTGCGATTTTATGAGTAAATCATTTGCTGGATATTCTAAGGTAAAGTCCAAACCCATTTGCAGTGGTGTTGTAGACAATATAAAGTATTTTAAACTAGATTTAATACATACTCGTTGATCCTTTTTTATTTCTGCACCAATGATACTGTTGGGTACTGAACTGTCATGGTCTATAGAAACTTTCATTTCATAATCGATTCTTTCTGTGGGAGCAGTTATAACGATTCTACTATCTGAAATGAATTTCTCGCGGCCATTCTTTCGAACTTTGCTTACTTGAAGGATATAGAGTACTTTTTTTAAGTCTGTACCGCCTTTTATTGTTAGATCATTTTCTAAGTGCTCCATTGGTTTATATTGAAAGTCCCAATCCAACTGAAAGTTACAATGAGGATATTCACTGGAATGCAATTCTACTGTTGTTACGAGTTTGGTGAAAGATCGAGAACTAAGATTTTGAACTTTTAAATTAGTTCTGATAGTGTTTCGTCGACGGCCTCTTCTGGTATAATCTATAGTCATATCAGATGATAATATTTTTCCACTTTGATGTGCTGTACCTGCAATTCGTGCTTCTAGATCTGGAAGTTTTATTCTCAGATCTGTGCTTAGTTTCCAATTTGCTGGTCTAAGTATAGTTATATCTCCTTCTTTAACGAAATTACCTGAATATCATAAAAATAGTTTTTTAAATTAATTATTTAAGTTACGTGTCTCGATGTTAAAACTCGAATAGTAATGATAATATTTACCCGAAATTTCGAGGGGTTGACGAGAGGGTCTATTAGAATGAAGATTGACTGTTATTACAGTTTTTCTTCCTTTCTTGCAGCTAATAGAACCCACGAGTTGTAAAGGTTCTGCGGATGGATATGAAATTTCAAGTTTTGTGTCATATTTCACAATACTTCCGCTATCAGATTTTTCAAGATCAGCAACAAGAGACCAATGACGATTACGATCAACAACTAAATCAAGCTTGAGAGATTTTTTTTCTGGGGAATTCATCACAGCAACTAGAAACGATTAAATAATTTATATTCATTGTATCATATCTAATATGCACTTTTATATAAAATTTAATTAATCGTATAGGTTTACCTCTTGCTTCCGCTTCTTTGTAAGGAGTGTGTAACTGAAGATCAAGTGTCCATAGTTCGTGTGGACTAGATGGTTCAACAAAAACAACTTCTAGAGAGTGCTTTCTATCATAGGAGGAACCGGGAGTATCGAATTCGATTTTAAGTTTTTTTGTGCTATAAACCTATTTGAAATAAAAAAAGATATGAATATTTCTGTTTCAATCATTTAGTATTAAAATTATTTAAATCTTACATTGTGATCAGGCAGCTCAATATTCAATAATAATGCACGCATAGAGCGATCTTGTTTCAAAAGAGAGATTTTCGTGGCGTAAGGACCACTGATGGCAGCATAAGGAGAACCAGAACGTACTATGGGCTGCGGAAGGACTAATTCAGTGCATATATCGTAGCCTATTACACTTCTAAGGAATTGTATACAACCTTTTAGTTCTCTTGAAGGTTGATAGCTTATTTCACCACCATATTCGTCAATTCGTACAACATCAACTCTATAAGAAAATCATAATATTGAGTAAATAACTATTTAAATCAACGGGAAAAAGTATATATTTACGAAATACATACGATACTGATAATAAATCTATTCTGTCCTCAGGTAAATCTATTCTCATGTTAAAAACGCGTCCATCTCTAATTACTAATTGACCTTTAATAACTACACCTCCATGAGCTTTAACAACATATTTGGCACGTGCTGTACTTGAGACTGATCTATAATTCATTATTGCGTTTGCTTCAGCGGCAACACTGTTAAAAAATATTATTTTCAGTAAAATATTAACAATAATAATAATTATGCGTATTTACAAGTTTTGAACCGTTACCTAACACGAACTTTTCCATTGATATCAACATTTTGTGGAGAAGATAGAGCTTTTCTTACATCTATTTTTCCTTCACCTTTAAGTCCTACTATAATTGTTCCATTGAGGTCTAATGAAATGGCACCACCGCTAATACTTGGATATTCAATACAAGTATCCAAATATATACTATGAGCTGTATCGATTTTTTGAGTTCTTGCAAGCTGTATAATGATTAATTAAAACTCGTTTAATTTAAATACAGTATTTCGATTTACTTATTAAAATGTATACAAAAATTACCTCTGAAAGTATGTCCATGAAATCAACAGCTTTTCCAAAATTGAAATCTGTTCTTTCATCAATTGTTACCCATAATAATTCACTGCCCATGTGTTTGAAATAGAAAGAACCACGAAGATCTGGAGGAACGGATGTTGTCATCTTTCAAATCAAAAAAGCATTATTTTAGAATGTTGAAGCAAAAATATTAATAAATTAGATACATTTAATTAATTACTTACTCTTTCTGCAAACCAGTTGACCTTTGGTTGTAATTTATGAGATGTCGTTCCAGTAGGCCATCGTGGTTGTTGTTTTTTATCGGCTAGGCCCATCATATAATTTGTAAATTCGCTGAAAGACATGTGACCATATTCTCCAGTAGGAGAAAATAATTTTTCCAATAGATGATCAAGACCTTCTACTCTTGCTCCAGCCTATAGAGACAAATTTTAAGTTTAAAATTTTACCTTTTTTTGTTATAAATTATTAAAATAAAGAAAGTATGTTGACCTCCATAAAATTAAAAACTTTATCATGAATAAACGAAGTAAAATTTGTCATGAAAGATCGAGGCAGGAATGAATCATGAGCATAAATGACATTAGATTCAAATTCTCCTCCTAATTTAACACGTTCAAAATAACTTGACCATTCAATATTTTGAGAATATTTCATGATATTCAATGGCTGAGGTTTAAATTGGAATTCTCTCACAATTCTTCTGATATCTTGTTTTTCGGGAGAAGAAGTTTCTTGAAGATTTGTTATATGAGAATAGACGAATGTTTTTACTAGAAAAGAAAACACATTTATAGTAATTCATTTCGCAAGTAATCCAAATTCAAAAAAATATTTTATTCGTACTTTGATTGAGCCTTTCTGAGTCATAAACTTGTTGGATCCTTCTCACGAGTTCTTTATCTGCACATCTCATTGCTCCTAGATAAGCCGCAATACGCACTTCAACTTGTTCATCCTGTCTAGAGAACATGTTCAATAACCGTTCTTTAACATCTCGTTCGCATGGTGTTCGTCGGAATGCTTCTATTGCAGCTAATCGAATGGTAATTTCATTAGATGGCTGTACGGCACATTCTAAGATTTGTCTACTAGCACTTCCAACTCTTCCCATATTTCCGAAACCTTTCAGAGCTGTAATTACCTATAAATGAATAAACGATTTTAATTTTTCTTCTTTATAATTTCATCAAGCTATCTTTTCCATTTTTACCTGATTTACTTCTCTGCGTCCAGAGACTTTGCATTGATAATTCAAATATCTGCTAAGAGATTCGATCACTTGTTGTAAGGCCCTTGAACTCTCGCAATCTGTATTCCACGAGCAATAATTATTACACATTGCAGTTATTCCTAAAATTGCTTGTTTTCCAGCTCTTTCATAATCCAATAAAGGCTAGTTTTTATTTAAAATATTTAATATAATTTATTATAAATTTCTATTTTTCCTTATATTTTCTATAATAATAATACTCACCACGGCAGCAGAAATGGCTCCTTCACTTGGATGTTTAATAAATGCCAAGCTAGTAACCCAATAAGCAGTTTGGAATCTACTTACAGCTCCACTCTGAATCCTTTTCACCATTATCCTGACTGAACCTTCATGGCCAATATATGGTAACGCATCATTCATAAGGCTCCTACAAAATAATTGATGAAATTAATAATTATGTATATATTTATATTAAACTTTTAAATGATAAATACAGTTACTTACTTTAACCAAGGCGACTGGCATATTTCCCCACTTTCTGCTTTATCATATATAGTTTCTAATTCTCGGGGGTTTACTCTACGAAGAACCTGTACCAATTGTGAGAAGAGTCTTGGCATTTCCGGATCAACCATTGTTTCCTGATGCATTCTAGAACACATGTCACGCAAAATCCGTAAAGCGTCGTCATAAGCAGAATCCAAAAATCTCTCTGGTTCGTGAGAATAAAGTAAATGATGTCGCCTTCCAATTTGATCTAAAATAATATTTTTCGTAATGTAAATATTTTATTTGATTTTTTATTACCTTATCAAATATATAACTTACAAGTTGGACGGTTTCTGTATGCTTGAACCCTTTCCAGATTGACTACAACAGTAGCTTCAGATTTCATTTCCTCTTTACGTTGTCCGAAGAATGTAAATTGACTGCTTTCTCTACATCTTACATTTGTAATGATCCTGTTTTCAATAGTCTGTTCGCAATGATACTCTTCCTTTTTCATCACAGGAAGCTATTAAAATAAACAACTTTATATTATTAAATCTATATTAAATTATTTTGCATTTAAATATTTCATAAGATTTACTTACAACACTACTCAATGGTACCAGAGGGAGCATGAACGCTGTATTTCCACCTAAACGACCTTCGCAAGATCCCAAATTCTTAGATTTTGTTACCGTAATACTACGACTGGTTGAATCTTGCACTTCGTAAGTAGTAAAACATGATCCAACGATGTCAGTCTTAAGTTTGATTTAAAAAATTGAATATAAATACTATGACAATTATTTTATTAATATTCTACTATAATAATAAAATCCTTACTTCTTTAACATAATCGTTTTCATTCAAATTAGCCATACTATTTTGCAATGCAGATAACATGGCTTTCTTAATATTAAGAACCCTAACACTTTCAGATGGGTCTGGACATATATCTTCTATTTTACCATCTTGGAACGAGAAAGGAAGAGGATAATCTGCAAAATCTGGAACCATAGCATTTTCAGCTGCAGTTGAGAATGTGACATCTTTTACCTATAAAAATTCAATATTTTTAAGAATCAAAATTCAAAACTTATTAAAATATATTAGTATGCCATAAATATCTTTAGAGTAATATACTGACCTCAAGAACCATATCACAGGGTCCTATTTTACTTATTGCAAGTTTAGCTCTAACAGTAAATGGAGTTTGCCTGTCAGAAGAGTCCGGATGAGAGATAAGATTTGCACTTTCAAAATCATAATGATAGGTGGACCCTTCATCGTACAAGAATTTAGAACCTAATTCAAAAAGAAAATAAAATTTATTCTCGTTAAAATTTATTACTAAATAAAAGCATTAAATTTATTATAATTTAAAATAAATTAGATATAGGCCTACAGTAAAATCTGTCTAAAGTGCAGTAACTAACTTATACTGTATTACACAACTATATTAATATATATATGAAAAGTATTATATATAAAGTTTATTTGTTTTTATTCTTTTTATAGATGAAGCGTATTTGATGACAAAATTAAGTTAAAGATCATACCAAATTAATATGAAAAAAGTAAAGATTAAATTCGATAAATAACCCCGATAAAAGTAAGTCTGATTTGCTTAGTTGGCATTTAAAAATAGATAATTCTGCGCCTTATTATCTACTGTTTATAAAATAATATCAGATCCTACTTAACCTTTCTGAATCCTATCTTTATTGATAGGTAAATCACCAATATTTCAAATAATTTAAAATTTTTTACAATTATTATTATAATCTATCTAAACATATTAATTTATATTATATTATTTCCAGTTTGATATTTTTATATTTCAATTTATCCTGACTTATTATATTAACATTTTAAATACAATAAATTATCAATTGGAAATATAAAAATTTGAAATTTATGGCAATAAATTGGAATTTTTAAAATTTTTATAATAAAAATCAATTTTGCATAAAACGTTTAATTAAATAAAATTATGGCTTTTCATCTTAATGGCTAAAAATTTAAGATAGTCTTAGATATTCTGTATCAGCATTTATTCGTTTTAAATTATAAAGATTTTTGCCTATTACAGAATTACTAAAGTGATTCGTTAGAATTGTAATTACTTTATACAAATCGATTACATTTTTTTTTAAAACAGTAGGGTTAATAATCTAAGAATTAAGGGCAATCGTACCACGTGATATAATGTTCAAATGAAATCAAGATCCTAGGCCAGGGAGATTAATTAAATAAGACGTCATTCTATTGCTATGGGAGACCTGAAATCGAATCCGAGCAAACAAACCCAGGAATTTTTCAAGGTATGTTTGCCGAATATGTCGGGATTCGTTCCTCATCATTGTGATGAATATAAATAAAGACTTTATTAGTGCCTGCAGAGCGAAAAGATCTCGAAAATCTGAAAACTTCTCATGTATAGAATATAACTATTCCTAGAAAAAAAGTTTGTCCATCTCCTCCTAAACCTTTAATCGTTAATTCGAGTTACAATTCATAAGAAAAACTTAAGTAAGAACCTGTCATTTAAGAATTGAACGAAATATTTTCTCTGTTATCATATCTAAAAATACTTTAATATTTCTAATACTCATAAATTTTTCAAAGAAAGCTTTTCAAATTAACACTAGTAAAGAAACTATTTTCTTTTTGTAATTTTTTAAACTGAAATTTCTTAAACTAAATCTAAATAGAAATCTATATCTTTATCGAAATTCTACTTCTTATAGAGAAAAGAATGAATTTTCATTACATTAAGGAGTAAGCGCATCTCAAGAATATTACTTATCATTTAATAATAACTTACTTTGTTTGCACTGTCTACTACACCTGGATTCATCACTCCAGGTAAGTGGACCTAGAAAGAATAGATATATTAATTATTATTGATTATACGATAATAAATGAAACAAAGTATTGATGACTACATAAGAAACGAATCAGCAATGTAAGAGTTAAGATGACGTAGAGTTTCGATGTCCGTTTGCTTACCTGCTAAAGTCAGCCCTATGAAGGAGAAAAGCGCAAATATCGTTTTCAGCTCCATGATAGAGCCGAGTGATGAGCGACAAAATTCTCGTCCATCTTTTATAGGGATACTATCAGCCGGGTCCAAGTTCATTTAGGATAAATCCTGAATAAGCATTTCGATCATCGGAGCTTGCATTGGCAATTTTTATTCGGTATTCAAAAATTGATTTTGCAATAAAATTGATAAGATACGACATCATTTATTTCTGAAATTGATATTTGCGGTGCTGAGTTTGCTCTAAATGAATTCTTCTATCATTTCTACAATTGCTGGTTTTGCACTTACTTGTCAGCTGAAATTCCCTTATCAGATAAATCACAACTACTACTAGATTCAGAAGGGAGTAATAATTATGATTATATTATTAAGTAACAGTATTTTATAAATTTTTTTAAAGATTTCCCTCTTTGTTGTTCTCTCTGTTCAAATTTAAGTAAGCACATGAAGCATATTCAGATTAAACAAATGAAACACTCAATATCAATAGTTTGAACCATGTAAAAATCAAATCAATAAACATTTAAAATGAAATAATCATTAAATATTTTAAAATTTCTGCTTGATTTAATTATTATTTTAATTAATTTAATTATTTCTCATAATCATTTTTGATTATGAGAAATTATAAAATTGATGTATCAAATGTAGATAATAATGTTTAATTTAAATTTTGGATTTTAAAACTTTTACCACTTTTTTTTACTTTCTGATAAGATTTAATTGATTAATTAAATTGTTTCGCTAAGTAATTAAAATATATTAAATTTAACAAAATTCTATAGATATAGCATTATATTTATTCATACTTATATAATCTACGAATGTCTATAAAAAATTAAATAATTTATATGTTTTTAATAGTTTTTCTTTTTATAATTTTGGATCAATTTTAAAGAAAAGTTAATCCAAATTCTTATTTATTTTTACTGTCAATATAGGCGACGTAAAAAATTTACTACATTAATTCCTAGTTATAAAATATAATAAAAACAATAATAAAGAAAAATTAAAAAATACAGTTAAAATTCTAAGGAGAATATTATAAAAATGCTTTTACACCCAAAAAATTTGTATTTACAATAAATTTTTTAAAAAATTTAACATGAAAAATATTCAAAATTTAAAAATTAACAAATAAATCTGTATAAATTTTACAATGAATATAATCTAAGTACGTTTACTTTTTGTTTGTATGGCAAAGATTATGGATAATTTTTATTTGATGAATACAAAATTTTTACATCACTGATTAGATTTTAAATTTGCACTTTTTTATCCTTTTTCACTGTACTAAAGAGATAATGAAGTGTCAATGAAACGTTAATCAATAGTTTGTTTATTTAAAAATTAACAATATGATGAAACATTGTTATATAAAATAGTAATTTTATGATTTTACTTACATCTTTGGTTAAAAACTTTTCATTTATTTAAATAACATTACAAAATCCTATAATTAAAATGTATATATCATTATTAAGGGTAAGACAAGGCACTAAAAATCATATGAATAATTAAAAAAATGTCCTAGTCTTAATCATTACATACCATTACAGAATTAATATAAAATTAACGATGATATAATGATGTTATACACATTATAAAATTAATTTAATTGATAAAAGATTTTAATTTTTTTTGTAAAATAAATTTCAAAATTAAAGATCCGAATAATTAAAATGCTGATCTATTAAAACACTAACCGTGTTGTTTATCTTACTAACTTTTTTAATGATAACAATTCAAGATCAATGACTGATCTTTTATACAATGGAATTTTTTAGTGAGGAAGAACGCATTTCAATAATTTATGATATCAAGTCGATTTGCGTCATTTTCCATGAAGTAAAAATATAGGGAATGAAGAAATAGGAATAGAGAAATTCCCCCATTCGTAAATTTGGGAAAGCTACAATGGGTCTGGAGATAACTACCTCTTCTCAAAAAAGGATGTCCTCAGAAAAATTCTAAATTTAGAGATATTTGGTGAACTGCTTGTTAAAAGAAATGGTACTGGATAAAATGAATGAAGTACAATATTTTCAAGGTAAAGATAAGCCTTTCATATCTTCAATGGCGCTACGCCACTGATGATATCGAATGTATTTAATACACAGTGAAACCTGCCGATTAGGATTAATAGGGGTGAAGGACGTCCGAGTTAGCGAGATGATTTCTTCGATGAAGCGGAAAACGAGAACTTGAATATACAGTATGGTAATTTATTACATTAGCCCTATACAGAAGTTTTGCTGAGTTACACTGCTGAATTTATTATTGCAGAAAATGAGTTCAAAAATTTCATGAAGCTGCAGTATATAGCAATGTAGACCCAGACCTACACTCTTTAGTAACTTACAGACTACAATAATATAATGCACGTATCTCAAATACTTCTGGATATCGAAAACACTCGTTAATTATAATTTTTCTATTGCCAAGAAATCCTAAAGCATGGAACTTACTAAAATTTAAATTACCGAGTTTGCCCGAATTAGCGAGGATTTACTGTATCACGAAAAAGGCCGGATGGACGAGCCGGTTAAGATGTCAGCGTACTACTTCGGGAGACTCGAGATCAAATCTGGGAAACCTCCAGGAATTTTCTGTGGATGGTAAGTCCCAAATACGTTGGTCCTGTCTCTCTTACCACACGGCTGATCCCATTATGACTTGACCGAACCCGCGATGGGTATAATTAAAAAGGCCCTTAGTGACTACAGGGCCGAAAGTTAAAAATGGTGAAAACATATAACTTATATAGTATCCTGAAATTAGAATTAAAAACCGCAGTCTTCATTGCCATTCTATAATGTTATATATATATATTAATATATAACTTTATCTCGTTAAACTGGTAAGTTATATGTTGCAATCTCAAGTTAAAAAATGATTAATGTATCATAAAACATAGAATAAATGTTTAATCTTTTCATTGGGTTATAGTAGTATGTTGCAATTTAATATTTAGGTGTTTATTAACACCTAAATATTAAAAATATTCAATATTTTTACGATCATAAAATATTTACGATCAAAAATATTTACAGTTTTGATCGTAAAATGGTGAAAACTGTGTCAATATCCAGAAATATGTTTCCAGTAAGCGAATGTAAACAGTCTAACGTTCTAGAAGGTGAGATGAGATTCTGAATCAGTCACAAATAAGGAACCTTACTCCTTTTTTTCAAAAGCCATAAAATATAAAAATAAAATCGATAAAACAAAAATAAAACAGAGCTTCCACCAGTTATCAAAAGAAACTTTTATTTTATGTCAAGCATTTTACATTAAAAATTAAATTTTGCGGTTCTTTTATATCCGGAAACAAACAAAATGGAACTAAATGGTGCATGATTTGATCTTGGATAATTTTATAAAATTAAANTAATAAGTCCTGATAATAGATGAAAGTCGAATTTATAGTCGAAAAATTTACATATTTTTAACATAAAATATTCTTTACTTTTTAAATCTTAAAACAATCCACTTAGTCAAATAGCTCCCTACCAGTGGCTAATGGATGGTAGCACCGTAGAGTAGGTTGCACGGCACGTGGACTGCCAGATCCCGATGATGCCAATACCGGTCAATGTCAAATACCTCTTTTGTCGCATCACGCGTATACCTCAAAGGACGCGACAGGATTGTTGTACATTTTAAATGTTTTTCACCATAGCTGTAAAAATGTAAATATGTTAAACTTAATAGATTCCTCGTTTGTTTTCTAAGTAATTCATTTTAGGACCAGGTGTCCACGGAAATTTCCAAAATATACTTTTCAGTCACTCTCATTGAACTGGAAAAATTTCTGTCTTTATTACATCTAATATTACGATGAAATCAGTCTCCACTGTACTCGGCTAGAGATTGGTTCGGTTAAGCTTTTAAGTAAAATTCCGGCTTTTTCAGCAGGGTTTTATGTCCCTAATTCCTCAATCTCTTAATTATTTAACTAATTCTTAAGTAGAAATAAGTTAAAACCGGTTAATTTGTACTTGAATATTTGTAGTCTCAGGAAAAAAGTGGAAAGACAAATTTTTATGACAACGGATACATAAATCGTAAATTTAAGGAAAATAAATTCTAGAGCTTTTGCAGTACCTTGTGCATCTCTCTCATTTATTAAATTTAGTCGTAAATGATGCTACCAAAGTAACAGTTAATTTTTTAACATTATACAAGAATTGTACACGTTTTTTCTACATCCCCTTAAAGATGGGACATACGAAATCGTAATATCACTGCTTTAACATTGAAATCCGTAATATAAGATAGGAGAGCGGAATAAAAATATTAAATATTTTAATGGATTTTTTAAACTCCTGTCAACTATACAGAACTATCATGAAAATATACCAGTAAATTCCTATCGGTTGGGTTTAGTTATAAATCTACTCATGATTCACATAATGGGGCGAGGGCGGCCAAATATCTAGCAGGCAGGCGGCTAACAGCCCATAACCAGTAGACCGGATGGCCGAGCGGTCAAGGTGGCAGCCTACCGCTCTGGGGGACCCGGGTTCGATCCGAACGGGTCGAAAAATCCCCAGGAATTTTTAGGGGTGGTCTGTTCGGATATGTCGGGCCCCGTCCTTCACCACCCGGCAGCCCCATTGTGGGCCTGGCCGAACCCATAATGGGCTTTCAAAAAGAGGTCCCCTTAGTGCCCACAGGGTGGAAAGAGTTTTAAAAAAAACCCATAACTGGTCCTGGATATAATCATTGGAAGCGTTATGCGTGTGTAGCTTCCACCAGCTAAACCGGATGAGGTGCTCTGTAAAGCGCACGCGCAAATGCATATAATCTGGCTGTTTGGAAGCTGACTCGGTTTTGACAATACAGCGCTTCCATTCCGCCACTGATATTCGAACATACAATAGCAATCTTATCGTTTTTTTCACACGTAGTACAGAAATTTGTAATAAGATGCATAATGCGGTTATAATAAAATATTATATTATTAATTAAAATATTAATCCTAAAATATTAAAATATGAAAATAATCACGCAATAAATATTTATTTTTTAGAAAATACAAGGAAAGCGGCGCTTATACCGCTTCCAATGACGGCACGCCATTGGTGGGCAGCCGGTCCGAGCGAGGCGCGGACCCACGACCGAATTCCCAGTATTAAGGGTACGAAGACCGCTTGGCTACTGATGGGCTTTTTCCTTGGACAATAGAATATTTCTTTCTTTACTAAAAAAAGAAATCTTAAAGATTTTAGTTTGTTAGAAAAATAATATTAATTTATAGGGGTAAAAAGCATTACAGGATTTTCTCCTTGGCCAGAGAAAAATTCACAGCGCCTCCTCTTAATGGCTCTATGTGCGACATTTAATATAGTGGCCGAAACAAGGAACTACAGGGACTTAAGCTGTCCCTATCGCCACAAAATAAATGTAATTAGCAGACTAACATACTTTAAGATCACGGGTTCCCTCCTGACCAATAGCATAAACGTGTTTTCTTCACATTTCTAATATCTCAAAAAGGGCCTCTCAGAGCCGTCGAGAGCTTGTATGGGGTTCTGGGTAGAGCGGGCCTTTTTTATTATTTTTCATTTCCTCCCTGAACAAGTGAAATACTAGAATGGTTCATTAATAATAAAAATCGATTGTAAATATTTTTATTTTTTGTTAATAAAAACAATTTTTATGGATAGGAATCACATTTCTTAGATTTCAAGGAAAAATTCACATGGCTCTGGGGCCAGCTTCCCATAGTCTTCCCAGGAGGCATCTTCCTCTTGGTCGATCACCCATGTTACGTTGCCTTATTCCACTAATCCAATTTTTTTTTTCAAGATGAATCATTTCTAAATATCTGATTTTAAATCTTTATTGCAATTCTCTAAACATTGTCGCTTTTTAAGCAGGCTTTAGACTTCATTTTTTGGGGCCTTCAACATGTTAAAATACATGCTTGGCAATAATTATTCCTGGTCTAGTATTCAAAATCCAGTATTAGCTTATATCCAACTTCATACATTATTATTTGATATAAGCTATATATCAGGGATGGCCAACATGTAGACCGGGATGGCCAACATGTAGACCGCGGTGGATCGCAAAGGTTTTGAAAGTAGCCTGTGAAGCTAAAGTTGAACAATTTGCTTTCACTTAAATTAATGTTTAAAAATCTTAATTTGATAATTTATTCTTACAATAATAGACTGTCTGTGCAACGTATCCATACTGTCTGTATTTATCCCGATGAACAATGCAAATGAATGTTAACGCATGCGCATATAAAAATCCTAAAATTGTTTGCCCATATTCATAGTTGCCCGCAGACTATATTTTACCAAAAAAGTAACTCCTAAGGGATAAAAGTTTGGCCACACCTGCTATACATTATATATACTTATAACAAAGAATCTCACAAGTATTGTACAGTACATATTGATCTAGGGCCTCCCATAACCTAAAACTGTCAGTTTCTAAGATTAACAAACTAATGTGCATATTCTTTGAGTGGGTTATCAAATTCATTACAGTAACTAGTAATAATTAAAAGACTGCAAAATTTTATGTTTGGTGACTGGCATAACAAAATCATACATAAATGCTTGATTCAAGTTTTCTACATTCCTTGTCATAGATTTAATAGTACTGAAAAATCTTTATGACAATCTTAAGAACAAAATACAGTATATGTAAATTTTGTTTAAAGTATTAAAAAAAAATCAATAAAATTTCCAAAATATATGTTTAGTTTTGGTGATTCCATTAGGATTTCTTCAATAAAAACAAATTGTTAATTTCAACAGTATTTTGGAAAATTTTTCTTTGATATTAAAAATTAATTTTAAGATTCATGGTCTGAACGGAAGAATACAAAATAAATACTCATTCCGTTAAAACAAATATAAAATGCTGCAAAATATCTACAGAAAGCAGTTTCATATTCCGTACTTAAATAATTAGTATAATTTACAACATGAGTGACCTTATACACTAAATGCTAATGAAGGATATCCATAGAACAAGCTGTTAAATGTTTTCATCACTAATAAAATTTGATATTTTTTTCAAAAACAAACAATACAATACAATAATAATTAAAAAACAGCATGTAAACAAATGCGTTTAAAATACAGAATATACAATTTATTATTGTTCATGTACAAATACTGTTTTAGAATTGATGTCATTTAAATAAAGTAAAATTATGTACATAATTTAATCTTAATATGATATATGAAAATTTTACAAATTATTGTCAATAAATACTGCATTCTTTTAAGATTCTTCTTCATAAACATCCATTATGTCTTCCATTATATCCCATAACTGGTCATTACTAAGATCATCACAGAAACACTAAAACATATAATAATTTTGATATTTAGTATATAGTTATTTTTCTATACAAAATTTATATATGAAGTATTTCCTAGTTAAAAAATATATATATGAAATATTTGTAAACATAAATTTATATCTTACCTCATACCAATTACTTATTACATCTCTATTGTAAGGAACATTAACTGCATAACACTGTAATGTTAAATTTATAATAGCAACAGCTACATGTTGTGGTTTATGTTTAAGGCAGACAGGATTAAGATAATGATCACAAAGCATTGACCAGCAAGTTCTTGAAAGTGGAACTTTTCTTATAATTTCTGGACTCAACCAATCCATTACTGACCTTAAATAATGAAGAAGATACTAAAATGGAAAAAAATAAATATATAAATAGTATATCAAAATAAATATTGAAACTTAGAATGCAATTATTAATAAAATATATCTTTTTATACATACTCGATGAGGATGATTTACTGATACTTTGAAACGTAATATACGAAGCATAAGTAATTCACAGTTTACAATGCTGTCACGAAGATTCCAATATTCATCTCCAAGAGATAAAGGCTCTGAATTTTTATGAACTATTCTAAATAAGTGTAATAAATTTAAATATAAAAATGTAATAAAAGTTCTTAAATACAATTTGTTTACTCTTAAAAGAAAGTAGTAAATTTAATTTTACAACAAAAATTAATTTAAGGTTTCCTCCCCTATTTTTGATTCTTCCCACTCTGTGTCTAAGAGGGCCTTTTAATCATAACCATCATAGGTTTAGCTAGGCCCACAATGAGAACAACATATGGCAGATTGGTGACGAATAGGACACAACATCTAGAAGACAGACCACCTCCAAAAAATTCGTGGAGTTTTTCAACACCAATAGGATGACACCTTAACCACCTCAACTATTGATTTTTAAGAAATGTAGTTACTATCATCATCTATACTTTATCTGTAAAATCTCTTATTAGTTTTATATACTAAAANTATATGGAAGCATTTCAATATTCAATTTTTTTATTTATATTTTAGAATTAAATATTAGTTTAGTTAAAATATATGGTTCAACAACAAGAGTTTAATATAAAAAAGTGATAACACTCTATACGTTTATATACACGTTGAACCTCACTAATTTGGCAAGCTTGGTACCGGAGGTGCCTGAATAGGGATTTTTGTAAACCTGCGAAGTTTTGATTACCAGTGGTCAGGGTGGCAGCCTACCACTCCGGGAGACCAGTAATTGCATGTGGACTGGTCGAAAAAAATTCTGGAATTTTTTGGGCAATTGTCCGTTCGGATATGTCGGTTCCCGTTCCTCACCATTCGGCTGCTCTATTATGGCATATGTTACCAGGGGAAAATCAATGCTTATTCCTTGTATTGACATCGTAACACATTTTACAAATAAGTCACGGCAGTATATGTTCAATATGCTGTCCACCATTTCCTGTAACCAGGTTCCTGTAAAGCGCAATACGTACTCTCCACAGTAGCTCGAAGCGAATCAGCCGGAATGTTATAAATATCCGGCGAACCTCATCTGTCAGCTCCGACAAATGTCTGATGTAGCGATAAACGGTTCTTTAGCAATTAAACCATATGAATTTGCATAAACATTGGTGTGTTCATAACGCGCCATTTTTCTCCTGGTGGTGACTTTTTAAACTAATTAATTTTTTTCAGGTTATGAAATCCCATAATCTCCATTATAATATTTCCAGGTTTAGAAACATTTGGTTCAGTAGTTTTCAATTTTATAGGGGATTCAAAGTGAAGCTTAAATTATGATCGCCCACTATATTACTAGTACAATGTGGACATTGTATGTTTTTCCTTTTGTTGGTTAATAGAATCGCGTTATTAAAATCGCCATTAAGTTTCTAAATATTCATTGGTACGTGTTGACCATTTTCTAAGAAATGATAAAAGAATTAATTATAGTCAGCATTTGTAGTGCTTATAAATATAAAATTGAGTGTATGATTAATATTATTATTAAAATATATATATTGTACAGTACATCCTGCAAGTTATGATGCTTGAATTTACAATAAACAAAGAGATATGTAAACAGTATTTTTATAACTGTTTATAAATCAGTAAAATAGATAAAATGATAAATTAAAAAAATACAGTCTTTCTATTATTTAGTCCTCAATTTAATTTAAAATATTCATTTGTGTAAATTTGTGTGTATATTTACTCGAAAAACAATATTTGAAATACTTCAATTTAGTTATAAATTATTCACTTTATACTTGTATTTCTCATTTAATTATTAAAAATTTAATTTCATTTGTCAGCAGTGAAAAACAAATATTCAAGAATCAACCTTATATTGCTAGTATTCAGTTTTTACTGTTGACTATTTTTGGCTGTTTGTGAGACAATCATAAGTATTGTCAGACTTTTCTGAAGAAAAATCAATATATTGACGTTTAAGGTTAGCAACCTATCAACCTAATCTAAATTATTTATTTATTTATTTTTGTTAAAACCTAGTCGTTAGTAGTACAGTACATTACCGTCGGACAAAAACACATATCACCTATATTTAATAAGTAAAATAAAATACAGTCTGTTCAGTATTTTCTCATTCATTTAAAATACTTAATAATATAATCTATTCGTTTTTACTTTAAATATTTTCTATTTAATAAAAATATTATCTTCATTTTGAATGTGTGAATTACGAATACTGTGAGATGGATTTGTTGGTCATTCCTGCATTAAACTATCGCCTACAGCACGAGATATTAAAAGAAACTTAATTTAAAACGAGAGGACTTTTTTAATATTTACTTTTTATTCAAAATAAGATTAATTATGTAGTAAGGGCTTCGTATGTCTTTCTATACTTAATTAATGTGTTTGGAATCCTAAGCAAGGGGGTGTAGCTGAGCCAATGGCTATACTGTCTTTGAGACTACTATTGTATATCCACTACGGTATTGTAGTGCCATTTATCTCCCTAGTAGACATTTTTGTAACTAACTGTTTAATTTCAAATAAAATTCTATCACTACAGAAGTCTTTGTGAGAAATATGATGTTACTCTGTGATTAGTTCTGTTATATCCTTTTGAAATGTGAACTTTAATAAAGAACACACTGCATACATTGGCCTATATATTTAAAGTTAGTTATTTAAATAAATAACTAACTTTAACTTTAACTTACATTTGGAAATATTCTATATTTAATGTTATTTAATTAAATAATTAACATTAAATATAGAATATTTAATATCTAGATGAAGGCCGTCAATATCTAGCAACCTGATAATTTCTAATGGCATCTCGAAGTACAGTTATCAGCAAAAATGATTTAAAAACTTGATGACTAAGTCAGATTTAAAAATTGTTTGCAAACTCCGTGCCAAGACATGTTTTAAAAAATAATGGTATGAAGTGTCTTTGTAAAATATCCAATGAATAAAGGATATAGCAGCAACAAAATTGATTACGAAGATAATTATTGATTAAAGGGTTTTTCATATAAAAATAATTGATTGGAAAAGTGTATTCTGAATAAAAATTAAAATATTATGAGTATTTACAGCGTTATTTTAACTATAGTAATAAAGAAAGCACGTAGTTGTCATTAAAATAGCACGTGATTTTATGTTATTCTTATCACTATCACTAAACAAAAGATAAAGTTTATCAGGTGGAGTACATTTTCAGTTTCGGATTAGTGAATGATCATAACTTTTTTTTACATAATCTTTTTCCAAGGCAACACGTGACATAGTTTATTTCTTTTATGTCAGTTCCATTATTTTAATGGAACTGTTCATTTGCATTTTTTCCATTATTCGTCTACTAGAACTGTACGAACTGGAAATTTCCTTATTTTTTGTTCTTTTACTTCTTAAATTTATAGAAAAATTTGACTGTTTTTCAATGTTTGAAGATGATCCATTTTTGAATAATGTGACTTGCGATACAAATCGGAAGTTTTCATATAGTTAATTTGGTCCTTTTTCTCTTACGATTTCCATATCTGGTCTCGACATTCATGTCTGGAGTCAGCAGACATAAAAATCTACAGAATTACCCTAGATTTAGGGAATTTTAGTTGCGTAGATTTTGGAAAATTTAAAAGGGATGTATCTCATACAATTTTTTGAGACTTCTACTAAAATTTATTCGTGATCAATAAAATATTTTATGGTTTTCTTAGTGTGTGCTCTCTTTGATAGCCATTAAGTCAGTCTATTACAAAGTATGGGTAAGTATTCTTTTAAGGAAGCGTATTGAAAAGAGGAGCAGAATAGTTTCAAAAATTATAAAATATTCATTATAAATTAACCATTTATATGTAATAACAATTTTAAAAATCATCGATAATAGTTTTGAAAATTATTACTGTTTGTGTGTATGTAGCAATTGATAAATTCAAACACGATTTCACTGGATAACAACATGAATTTTTCAAAACTCGATCAATGACACACGAATACTTTACGTTATTTATATACAGTACAGTACATACTCCCGTATTTAATTTTTTTTTTTTTTTTGTATTCAGTAAAAGCTGATAAAATCATTATGTGTTACAAGTAAATTAAAGGGAAGCATGAGTCACTCGTTTCTTCATTTATGGATTGTTCTGTGCATAGTCTCCTGGGTACTTCACTCTTGAAACTTGTAAATTCAAGCTAATCACCCGCTTTCTATGCATCGTGTGTTTCAATTTCAACTGTAAAGTTTTGTTGCCTGATCACTTGTAATTCTCCAGAATAGTGACCGTTCATTGTTTTTTTTTATATTAACAATAGTTAGTCTAAATATCCATACTTTCTTAATGACTACAAAGTGAAAATAGACACGAGATTTACCATTGTTCTTTCTGTTACCAACTTACATGATTGTAATTGTAGGTACACTGGAACTGCTAGTAACAGAAATCATAGAACAGAACAGAGTTTGCAATAGAAAATAAGGTTGTGATGATAGAAATTTCTGTTGGTGCATTCTTTTTTCTATAGTCTTTCTTTTTGCAGGCTTCTTTTACTCCAGATAACAACCATTCCAATCGTTTCTGTTTTATTTTCCTATCTTTATTGCGTTCTTCTAATGTAGGAAAATGAATAGGTATAGGTGCAATTTGTATATTTGTTTTAAGAGATATATATAGAGGAAAATTTCTTCGGTAAGATATACCATTTTTAATATTGTTGGAATGGTCATTGAAAAATTGCTTTCGGATTTTTTCCACATTCTTTGTAGATTTTCGTTTAGCAAACTGATTAAAACTGATTAATACAAACTGTATAGACAAAGTCCATGCATTAGACCTATACTGTTTTGTTGTTTAATAACGCACAGCATTTATTTTCGTTAATACCGAGCCATGAAAATTCCATCTTATTTTTCAAATGAAATAACAGCGAGAATGCAATTCACCTTTCTGATAGTCAATTATAATTTTTAGATATGTTCAAGGAATGCTTATTGAGTATTTGATTTCGACATAAATTTATTACTGCGGTAGTAAACTTTTAAAGAAAACTATTAATTGCAATAACCTTTAATTGATTGAAAACGTAGTTTTGATTGTTACACAGCATATGAAATGCTCTGTCGAAGGACTCGACTCTCATAATGCCTCAAAATTCGCGCTGCCAGTTCCATCGAGAGCTTATATGGGGCGCGAGCTAGAGTAGGCCACTGTATTTTCTTTTCCTTGGTTTGTTTGTTTAGTTATGGCAACGCAACACTTGGGCAATCTGACTAGGGTGGATTCCTTCCGGGAGGTCTTTTTAAGGGAACTGGCCCCTATTTAGGCGTTACAGACATGGAGAAAACCCGGAAAACTCCACGTGGCCAGCAGTGGTGTGCCGTGACATTTGATGATAGGGAAGCTGTGTTTCTGTAACAAGCCGACTTCCAGGCGCAATAAGTTAATTGCACGTGATGGTCTGGGATCCATTCGTATTCGTTTGTTCGATAAGCCAGTGAAAAACGTAGACTTCTAAATGTATTTTCTATATCACAATTACATTCTGAATCGCTAGCCACGATATAAGGGCTACAATTAAAAATAAAATAATAAAAACTAACTTGGTAAAATGTGCGGTGGATGTACACACCTGGTACAAAATATTCTTCAATTGTATGAATATACTTTTAAACAAAATTATAATTAAATATAGATTTGTAAAGAAACGTACATAAAAATAACATAAAATATTTAATTAAATTGCCTCAATGTCCTTTTTTCCTTAACAATATGTAAATTTTTCGACTATAAATTCGACTTTCATCTATTATCAGGACTTATTATACTGGTTTNATTACATATTATTCACTGATAAATGAAAATAATAATTCAGCTTGATGAACTAACAATATTAATTAATAATTATGTTAAATTATTTGAACTTAAAAACATTTTATAATAATTATAACTACACAATATAGAGAATTGGTCGTATGGTATTTGTTAGCAAATAAGCTGAAATTAATAATTTAATTTTAGAAGTAAAATGATTTATCTTGTACCAATCGTTTTCCTTTGTTTCTCTAACATTTTTGCAATCTAATTTAAAGCTTAAGTTTACATTTTTAAAAATTGATTTGCTCTTTTAATTCTTAATTTAAAACATTAATTGTTCTGAAAATAATTATACTGAATTCCAGCTTAACATAAAATATGTGATTTCAAAAATGTTTTAGGAATAAAGGAAAAACAAAAACAAAAACTTCTGACATAAATCTAAAATGATTTTTACTTTTAAACTTTACAATTTTTAAATAATGATTATATACTCACTTATAAAATATATTTATTATATCACGAATTTTCAAATGATCCTCTTCCACTTTGCCAGCAAGATATAAAGATGTAGCAGCAATTAGCTGTAAAAATAAAACTTAAAATTTATTCAATATAGTATTTCTATAATCAAAATACATAAAAAACATTGAAGATTATTTTTTAAATAAACATTTTTGAAAGCTGTGCTAATTTTTGAAAAAGAACATGGATCAATTTAAATATTAAAAAGCAATTGAAAATATCTAATATAATGATATTAACTCTAAATATTATGTAACTCAGATTAGTGTAGGCTTACATAACATATAATATGGCCAAAAACTTACTTGCTAAATGGAAATGGTCACTTGCATACTATAAATGGATCAGTGGACATTATGTTTGGGTTGTGACTTCCTTTGGAAAGTAATGTTCAGTGATGATTCCACCTTTTTGGAGGGCCATGCTCATACACAAAATGCACGGTACTGATCTCAAGGAAACCCTCATTGAATGTGCCAGTCCAATAATCCTGATACTCCAAGATTGATGATATGTGCAGGAATTCTGGGGAACTATTGGTCTGTACTTCTTTGAAAATAGTGTGAATCAACACACATATAGAAACATGCTGTATACCATTGTGTTGGATTTCCTGGATAACCTTCCTCTGAGTCAATGGCAGAAACATTGGTTCCAGCAGGATGACATGACAGCACACACTGCCTTATCTGTTCAAAAAAGACAATGCAATGTTTCTAAGATGTTGGATTGGTGACCCACCATCATGGCCTCCACACCTGCCTAACCTAACCCCTAAGGATTTCTTCCTGTGGAGCAGTGATTTTTTATGTGAAGCAACATGTCTTCCAGATACTGCCTGCCTTCCTCAACAAGTTGAAGGATAGAATTAGTACTGTTCTTCACAACATTCCTTATGTAACTCTTGCAATGATAACAAATGAAGTTCTGCATCTTGTAGAACACTGTATTAATAGACAACACTTTGAATGAGAATGTTGAAGAGTATTGTGATATACAACACTCCATGTTCACACCTGACAATCACACAGACTGCACTAATCATCATTAAAGTCATTTACAGTGTCTTTCATCTGTAATTTGCAGTGTCCCCTTTCCTCATTTGGCAAGCAATATTTTGACTATGCTGTAATTATTATAAATATTTCAGATTTAAAATAATTATTTGAAATAAATTGTTGTTATTCACTTCTATTCATTGGGATAAAGGGTATCACTATAACAATGTTCCTTATTGTAACCTTATTGAGTTGTATTAATGTAACCTTCTTGAGTTGTTAAATGCAACTCTCTAATATCATAAATTTAAACATTGATTGTTAAAAAGAAGACTGTGGCTGCAGAGAATCTTGTCTCATAACAACCTGATTACAGAAACCGGAGCTAATGCTAAGTAAGAAATCTAATTGGCTAGAATGGCAAACCAAGAATTCTTCTGAATATCTTTGAAATGTATTCTGAGGAAACAAGTCAACTGTTCATGTTTAAAATGGTGGAAGAAATAAAAATGATTATTTATTCATTTTAGCCATAATTTTATGATCATTATAAAAATATACATATTCAACATGCATAGTTATATTTCAAATGAGTAGTGCCAACAGTCACAGAAAAGTTGACAGTACCAGCTGATCTTAGCAATGAAAAAGTATGCTGACTGAACTAGTTAAATTCTAGAAATCTGTGAAGTCAGGAATTAATTTGTAATAAGACTTATCAGAATAATTAGACTTAGCAAGACTTCTGTATCACTGATCTTAGTTTAATACAGGTAACCCCTGTATAACATGGGAGTTACGTTCCAAAAAATTGTCATGTTATGCAAATCCATGTTATATGAACACAAAGAACTAGTGTGAAAAGGGGGGTTAGGTTCCAAATATTAAAAAACATGCTGTTAAATCCTTATTTAAATCAGATTTATTATTCATTTTTTTTCATAGGTAAAATACTTATTTATTATTTAAGTAAATATTTTACCAGAAAATTATTCATCCTATATGATGATCTCAGCATGAGCATTATCAACTGGTAACAGTTTTTTTGTGCGTTCGTTAATAGTGGTCGCTCTACAACAGAAGTGTGCTGCTGTTTGTAGGCATTTAGGAATGATGATGAAAGAAAGATGGCGGCAGCACCCACACTATTGATAGTATCATGATGGAGGAATCTATAATTTTAAAATAAGCTTTTAGAGGCAAAAGAAGGGTCCAATTGTAAAATTTAACCATTAAATGGATTATTTGTTGAAAGAGCATTCAAAGTAGCCACGAAAACAATTAGAATGCTCACGCGGAGTTACGTGGAGGTATAAAAGAACATTTTTACATTTCATATTGTATGAGGGTTTTACCCAATTCCTGAACCTTGTTAGAGTGAATCTGTGCTATAGAAGTGCCGTGTTATACAGGGTTACCTGTAGTTTAAATTATGATTACATATACTCTATACCACTTAATTCTTGTCTTTGGGCAAATAGTTAGCCATTGTTAACTATTGTTTATAAGCTTAGAATAGGGGGTTGAGGATGGCTCAAATTTTATCACAGTTTAGATTTAAACTTTATCTGTAATTGGTCCTATAGTTTTGCTACTACCTGGTTATGGCAACATAATTATCAATTTCTGTGGTTTTTAAATAATTTTTATTGAATAAGCATTCTTTTACTTGGTTTCAGATCACAAAATTAACTTTTTTACTGATAGCCATTTGTATAAAATTTTCTATGTTTAAAGCTTTATGATATTTTTTTTTCTGAATAAAAATTAGAATAATGTATACGTTAATTGTAGATACCTTAATGATTAAAATAGGATGGACAAAAAGTCCATAAAAACTTTAAACATTCATAAAAAAATGGAAGAATTATCAGAATGAAATGTAGTTTGCATGGTAAGTATTGTAAGCACAAAGGTTTTTGTTAACAGGGAAAATTAGTTCCAAAAATCTCAAATATGCGGCATTGACATATAAAAGAAATTCAAATGACAATTAAAATGACTTTCAATATGTTTATTAGACAAGTGTTTGACATAGCCTCAACACACAATTTAGTCAAGTAACAACAGTCACATCAGCAGAATGAGGCATGTCAGGATAGATGGATGTTACCTCACAGCAAATAGCATTTTTCAATTCCAACATTGTAGGACCAGATTGAAACACTCCAGAATTTAAATACCTCCACAATTATAAATCACATTGACAGTCATTTTCATTGTCATTCACACATCAATACATTCTTTTGTATGTCAATGCCATCTATTGGAGATTTTTTTAAACTAATTTTTTTCCTTTACAAAAACACCCATACTAACAACTCTAATCAAACCACATTTTATTCCATTAATTTTAATGAATGTTTAAAGTTTTTTATGGACTTTTTGCTCACCGTGTACTCTTTAAGTTTAATTTATGAAACTTTTTATTTTTTAAAGAAACTTTTTCAGTCCCAATTATAGTTTGATAATTGTTAATTAATATTAGTGTCTAAGTATATAAATACAAAAAGAATTTTTTTACATAATGTTTTACAATCTTTAAAATTCTTTTAGCATACTTTCTGCAATAACTAAGAAAAGATTGAAAAAAACAAAAACTATTCTTCATAGTCAAATGACTTTTATACTGTATTACTAAATGCATAATTTGACTTCCATATTTTCTATCATCATGAATATTTTTTGAATAGTGCATTATTAAAAAAATTAAACAAGTTAATTGTGTAATATATTTGAAGTTAGTGGCAAAAAGACAAATGTGGCACCTATGACAAAAAGTAAAACACACTGTATATGTGAAAAGTAAAAAAATTTATTTATTTATTTCCTTATTATATTTACATATATGTACTGTACATCTAACCATTGATTTATATAGTACTCAATGGTGCATGATTTCTATTTAATGTAATTGGAAAAATGCAATAAAATTTTGTTTTACACAATACAAAGATTCAATTTAACATGGTATATTTTAAAATATGCTTCAGTACTTTATTTTAAAGTAAGTATTTTCAATGTTACAACTTCTATACTGAAAATGACAGGTTAAAGGATCACATTAACCTTATAGCTTAAACAATTAAAGTTGATTTAAAAAAACACAAACCTTTTGTATTTACATTCCACAATAGAACAATACTTTCAAATTTTAAAGATGCAAACCAACATTTGAAAAACAATAATCAAAAACAAAAGGTACACAAACAACAAATAATAAACTAAAATAAAGTAAAAACATCAATGAAAATGCTTAATTCTCATTGATAAAATTAATATTTAGACCTATTCTAACTATTGCAATGTCATAATCATTATAATCACATCACTACTTTCAACTTACATTTTCAGTGCACTGGGATTCTCCATTTTGTATACAGTATTATCACACCAATGTATTGAATTTTGCTCAATATTAGAAAAGTTATTAAAAAGTTAAATAGAAATAAAAACAAAAAACTAAGCTTCAATAACAGATTTTTATTGAGACAAGGCCAACAATGTCTTAGTTGCTTTCTAATTTGTTTACCTATCTTTCCATTTTACATATAAACATTAGAAACTCAATTTATATAATTTTAACTTTATAAAGAATCAAACTACCATGAAAATCAAGGGTTAGGTCTCTCTATATGTAAGGTGTCACATTAAATTATTTTTCAAAACTTAATGCAATTACCAGTGATTTAATAAATAAAATAAAAACATTGGTATCTTCATTCAATGAGTACCTATGGCTAAAGCCAGACCTGGCCTATCCTTGCTATGCTATTATTTAAAACTATCTATAATGGTTGACAATTAAGTCATGACAACATTCAGTTCTTGATTAAAGTAATAAAATCTTAGTAGTCATAGCCCTAGCCATTGTAAAATCTAACATACATCATTATTGTTCCTTTCAAGTGACAATAGTTGTCTGCAATTGACAACTGTTCTGAGTGACATTAGAACATGCACACAACTATTGGACCCAATGATATGAATCACATCATTATTATCCCAAATTATATAGAAACACTATGCTTGACAGAGAGTTTAAGATAGTCAATATTGTAAGCTTTACCCAGTGATCTTCTGACAAAAACACACCAGAAGTGGGAAACACAGTGAAAGTTGACTCATCCAACCATATCACATTTCCATGTTGCCAGGGTCATTCTCTTTGCACTACTGCACATGCTGTTTGATGTTTCATGGTATCAACAAAGGTTTGGCTTTTGCAGCCCTGCCATTGATATTATCTTTATGCAATGCACTTCATATGGCTTTTAGTGAACTGTTACACTTGCACTTGCAGCCAAGTCTGCGGTAATTTGCATTGCTGTTGTTTTGTTTCCTCAGACAATTTGATGAATTGCTCTTCTATCCTTCTCATCCAGCTTTGACTTTCAACCACAGCTGCTTCTGTCATCAGATGTTTTACCTGTCTTCCTTACTGAGACATGATCAAGGAAACAGTAGCTGTTGCTATCTCCATCAACTCAGATCATAGGTGCCTCTACTAGGCACGCACCAACAATCATTGTTTGTGCATGCCTAATAGGACCCTTTGAAAGTCTGTTAGATCTGACATAATCACACCCCAAAACAGGCAAATAGATTTTTCAACAGCAAAAATAAAGTTTATTGACAGTGGTATAAGCTCCACAAATGAAAAAAAAAGAGGTGGTGCATTTGATGACATATTTCAGGAAAAGTTCAATTTGACTGTCTAAAATGGGTGTGTTTGAATTATTTTGTCCAACACCTGTATATATACATATATTATAAATGTGTATGCAAACATTGGATGAAGATCCAGGTAGTGTAACTGATAATGCAACTGCACAGTGAGCAGGAATTTGGGTTTGAGTCCTGCTCCACACCAAAAGTTTAATTAATATAAATATATCTTAGCCATAAGAATCCGGATGTATAATTTGATTATTAAAAATGATAGAACTCTAGCTTATTTATTTCAAATTTCTTAGTTTTTAAGTTAATTTGTAATACATCATTGGATTTCTTAAAATCCGGCATATATCATTTAAACATGTAAGTTGGTATTTTCATTTTTCAAAAACTCATATTTTCCAATTACAGTTTAATTGGAAAATACAAGTTTGTTCTCTCTCTAATATGATATGCAAGATTACTATTGTATTTGAATTTTAATTTTGCTCATTCATTTTTAACAGATAAAAATAATTTTCTTAAACTATTAATCAATGAAACATTAATTAAAATATATTACAATGAATAATACAATGTTTTAATAACCAGGACAAATTCTCATCTTTTTCCAACTGATGTTTTCAAGCTAGTTTATAGCTCTTCATCGTGTTTACACTTAAATCAAACAAAAAAACGCTGGTGTTCAAAAAAATTTTTAAATTAATTTCAATGATCTACAGTTAAGTATCTTTGAATAACAGTGTCCAATTCAATTTAAGATTAAATCTGATGACAAGCTAAATACTAGCTTGAAAATGTTAGTTTGAAAAATAATTTATACTGAATATTAAAAAGTTGTATTACTCATAGTGTGAATTTCATCCAGTTGTCAATTTTTCACTAATTAAAATATATTGTAAACTTACATATGGATCATAATCTTCAGGACTACATTGTTGAAAAAATCGATGATATAAAGTAGCAGCAGTTGCAATAGTAATTGCTTGTGCCTCTAGTTTAGTACCTTAAATTTCAAAAAACAAAATAAACATTAATATATATAAAAATTTGAAATTTCTTTTACAAACTTGCAGAAAAATATAATAGGATACTATAATTTAATTTTCAAAATGATAGTTTCTAAATCTGCACAGTTCTAACCTTTCTGTGAAAATTGTTCTTGATATTATTATTCAATGATTTATATTTATTCAAATATGTATAACCTTGTAAAAGTATTTCTTTTGTTTACAATATTGAATAGTTTATTACAAAATACAAATTTTAAAATATGTTTTAAAAGAAATAATAAATCTGACAATAAATATAATAGATATTAATAAAGAACATACAAATCCATCAAATAACAACCTAGAGGAACTATTTAAAAGATTATTAAAATCTATATTTAAAACAGTTTTATTAGTATTGCCACCTTTTCACTGACCCGGACGGCAGGTGAGGTTTGTTCCCTGATGCATGCATAATGTCATTTTGCAATGCGAAGAATAATGTGCAGTGCATGCTGGTTCTAAATCAGTTACAGTTAGAGACTAGGGAGACTTGGGTAGGAGTAACATAAGTAACCTAAATTAAGAAAGAACAACTGCAGATGACTTAGCTCTATTGGTTATTGGAGGTGTGTATGAATACAAATCCTACAAGCAAAAAAAAAGGTCGACAAGTCGCACATGATATTCCCAGACAAAATTAATAGTTTACCTGGACAGTGAGTCGATTCCCGGACTGTCCAGATGAAAACTGGACAGGTGGTAACACTAAGTTTTATAGATTTAAATAATAGTTTTAAATAAATGTATTTACAGTTACTGTAAACTTGTTTGTATAGTTAAGCAATGGCAATGCAACACTTGNTTAATAAAGAACATACAAATCCATCAAATAACAACCTAGAGGAACTATTTAAAAGATTATTAAAATCTATATTTAAAACAGTTTTATTAGTATTGCCACCTTTTCAGTGACCCGGACGGCAGGTGAGGTTTGTTCCCTGATGCATGCATAATGTCATTTTGCAATGCGAAGAGTAATGTGCAGTGCATGCTAATTCTAAATCAGTTACAGTTAGGGACTAGGGAGACTTGGGTAGGAGTAACATAAGTAACCTAAATTAAGAAAGAACAACTGCAGATGACTTAGCTCTATTGGTTATTGGAGGTGTGTACGAATACAAATCCTACAAGCAAAAAAAAAAAGGTTGACAAGTCGCGCATGATATTCCCAGACAAAATTAATAGTTTACCTGGACAGTGAGTCGATTCCCGGACTGTCCAGATGAAAACTGGACAAGTGGTAACACTAAGTTTTATAGATTTTAATAATAGTTTTAAATAAATGTATTTACAGTTACTGTAAACTTGTTTGTATAGTTAAGCAATGGCAATGCAACACTTGAGCAATCTGCCTAGGGGAAATGCCTTCCAGGAGGTCTTTTTAAAGGTAACTGGCCCTTATTCAGGCATTAGACATGAAGAAAACCCAGAAAACTCCACATGGCTAGCACAAACCCTCAACCAAACTCCCAGTGTTTAGTGACAGAACCACTAGCCCACTGGTGGGCACCTTTACTGTAAACACATTTTAAAATCAAAATGACAATCTAAATATAAAAAATTTTCAAGAATATTTTTCAAAACGATTGTATCTAAATTATTCACACAATAAATTTATATGGAATAAAACTAATAAAAATACAAAGTATTTTTAGTCGAATTTATAACATTTAATCACGTGTCAATTTTTGGGTTACGTAAAAGCCTTTTGTAATTTTAGTAAAATGACAAATGTTTGAAAATGAAATTGTAACCACGAATAATTAAAACAAACAGTAATTCCATAAATATGTTTTTTTCTGTTATTAATACATTACACGCAATATGTTTATTTGTGTAACTTAAATTAAATAAATTCAAATTACCGCCTTCAAACACACTATAAATTGGCTTGACGGGAAGAGAACGAACACGCTCGGAAAGAAAAGCCATGACATGACTATCGTCGCTCTACCTGACGGTTATTAAACGAAATACAAAATAAATTTGATAGAAAACGTAACATGAAACATGTTATTTTTGTGTAAAACCTCAAAATTGTCTAAAATTTTATATAATTAAATTTGTACTAAATTTCTTACAAGTTAGAATTGAATGAAAGTATTCGCAAGAAAGACTGATGTTAGCTAAATACGAATATTGCACCAAATAATACACGAATATGTGTGATTTATGTGGAAAATTGGCGAATAAAAAGAAAAAATAAACGTCATCACCTCACCCATATACTGTTCGCCAATAACCACACGTATAAGGGTGAAATGGTGATTTGACAAAAAATTATACACTCCTCAAATGTGAAATCGCAACACTACGGAGGAATACACATAGCCACTTGCAGGGTCGGTAGAGGTGACAGATATATCTAAATGATTAAAAGAACAAACCAAGATGTACAGGGCCGGCCATCGGGGGGGTGCGGCGGATGCTGTGCACCGGGGCCCCGCGATTGAGGGGGCCCTAACATTGTCAAGAATGCACAAGAAAACTCGACAATATTCCTATCGTTGTCAGTATGACGAAAAGTACATTTTATCGTAAACATTATTATTGTAATCTCTGAATT